TGCCTTGAATTTAACTGGCCTAGCAAACCTTCTCTGAAGTCACTGTTTGGATTTTTTTAAAGCACCAAATAAGACTAAGGCAAGTGTGTTGCTGGGGTAACTTATCTGCAGCCATTCACTGATTACAGAGACATGTCAGCCCATGTTTTACTTGGCATAAACCCATGCAGGTATGAAATGGAGCCCTTGTTATTGTTGTTGGTGTGAGGTGCTTCTTCAGTTGATTCCAACTCATAGTGACACTGTGCACAACAGAACAAAACACTGCCAGGTCCTGTGCCAGCCTCACAATTGGTGTTATGTTTGAGCCTATTGTTACCAGTGTATCCACCCTACTCATTGAAGATTTCTCTTTCTCATGGGCCCTGCACTTTACCAAGTACTGTGTCTATCTCCAGAAACTGATCCCACCTGACATGTCCAAAGAAAATGAGAAAAAGTCTAACCGACTTCACTTCTAAGGAGCATTTTGACTGCACTTCTTCCAACCCAGATTTGTTTTTTCTTGTGACAGTCCAAGATACTTAAAATATTCTTCTCCCACACCATAATTCAAATGCATCAATTCTTCTACCATCTTCCTTATTCGTTCCTTTTGCATGCAAATGAGGCAATTGAAAATACCATGGCTTGGGACAGGTGCACCTCAATCCTCAATCTGACATTTTTGTTCTTAAATGCTTTAAAGATATCTTTTGTAGCAGATTTGCTTAATGCAGCACACCATTTGATTTCTTGACTGCTGCTTCCGTGAATGTTGATTGTAATCCATACAAAATGAAATCCTTGACAACTTCAGTCTTTTCTCCATTTATTATTATGTTAATTATTGGTCCTGTTGTAAGGATTTTTGTTTTCTTTACACTGAGCTGCAAGCTACAATGAAGGTTGAATATAGTCTTTGATCTTCATCAGTAATTATTTTGACTCCTCCTCACTTTCAACAAACAAGGTTGTGTCATCTGTATATTGCAGGTTGTTAGAGTCTTCCTCCAATTCTTCTTCATATAATCCAGATTGAATGCCGATGGTGAAAGGCTAAAACCCTGGCAGAAAGGAAAAGTGGAGGATTACTGACTGGCTATAGATAAGGTCAGCTTCTGCTTGAAGTCCTTTGAAATGTACAAGTTGACCATTTGGCTAAAAGTTAGCAAGTTACCACTTAGGCGAGTAGTTGTTGTTAAGTGCCATCAAGTTAGTTCTGACTCAGAGTGACCCTGGATAGTGTTTCCAAGGAGCAGCTGGTGAGTTGAACCACTGATCTTACATTCCAGCGCATTATTCCACAGCGCCACACAGGGAGTCCATGTGTATATATATGTGTTGTGAAGTGCTGTCAAGTCAACTCCAACCCATAGCAACCCTGTATAGGGTTTCTGAGAAGCAGATGGTGTGCTTGAACTGCCGACCTTGCAGTTCATACAGCTTTGTAGTCTGATGCATTAATCCACAGCGCCACACCAGGACTATAAGTATCTCATTACTTATGTAGGATATTTCTAATTCAAAGGATTGCATAATGACAGTCCTGATGTGGCTCTGTTGGCTAAGCACTGGACTTCTAACCACAAAGTTGGCAGTACAAACCTACCAGTCAAATCTTGGAAACCCTATACAGGGATGCATATAGATGTAGATATAGATATAGATAAGACCAATCGCAGTGTTATGCATTAATAACAGCAACAGCTTTTCCAGGTCCTGCAGTCATCTCAACAAAATTATACAGACATCCAGCAATCTCCATTAAAAAAAGAAAAGAAAAAGTATTTAAAAAAACTCAGAAAACAGCAACATTCTGTTACTCTTGTGGTAGCTGGCACCCTTTTTTTTGTGTGTGGATGATTAGCTTCTCATGATTGTAGTATCCTGACACATTCTTTCCATGAACATCCTGACCTTTGACTTCCTAGGAATGCATGTTGGTTCCATCAGTCTTGTGTATACAAGTGACTTCAGTCTGAAACTTTTCTTACATAGGTCATTACTTTGCTAATTTCTCAGGAGATAACACCCTGGTGTGGCACTGTAGGATAAGCACTGCAAGCTTGGTTTGAACAGCAAGGTCAGCAGTTCAAACTCCCAGTTGCTTCTCAGAAACTTTAGAAACCCTATACATGGTCACTATGAGTCAGAACCAGCTCAACGGCACTTAATAACACCACCACCAAAGCACAACCATGGCTTCCAGGTCCCTTGGTTATAGAAAGAAAGTCACCAAAGACACAATATACGTTTTTTAAAACACAGGCTCCAGTCAGACTGTGGAGTTCCTGTTTCCAGAAATGGTGCTGTAGGATAGGCACTAGAATACTAACTATAAGGTCAGCGGTTCATACCCACCAGCCACTCTTCAGAAACCCTTACAGGGTCTCTATGGACTCCTGGTGTGGTGCTGTAGAATCAGCATAGAACTTCAAACCACAAGGTCAGCACTTCAAACCCACTAGCTGCTCCTCAGAAACCCTATACTCAACAGCATCTAATAACAAATACCTGAGGCAGAACCAATTCAATGGCACTTAACAGCAACAAGCTACACAGATCATTCTTAAAAAGAACCCAATGCCTAAGGCCCACCAGTTTCCAGTTAAACTTCATCCTATACTTATTCTCCAACCTGGTGATGACTGTAGCCAACCAGTTCTTTCACAGTTCAAAAGGACATCTAAGGGAAGATGGCCTGAGTGGGTCACCTCAATGCTGTGAACCCAGACATCTAGATTGCAGGAGAATCAGAGCAATTTTGTCAGACCCTTCAAAATAAAATCACTTTGAATCACTTATATAGGATGTTTCTAATATAAAGGATTGCATAATGACAGTTAGTCCCAATATGGCTCTGTTGACTAAGCACTGGACTGCTAACTACAAGGTTGGCAGTACAAACCCACCAGTCCTTTCTTGGAAACCCTATACATGGATGCTATGAGTCAGAACTGACTTAATGGCACTTCTGCTCCCCCCATCCCCAGAAAGACTTACAGCCTCAGAAACCCTGTACAGGGTCGCTATGAGTCGGAACCGAAACCGACTCCATGGCACATAACAACAACAACAACAACAAAAACAACAGAACAAAATCACTTATACAAAGGATTTCTATTTCAAAGGATTGCATAACAGTTAATATATTTCATTACAAACATTTCTAAAGTTAAAGACTGGAAGAAAAAATTCAAACCTCTATTGCAATATTGAAGGATTCTATAGGCAAAATGTTAAATGATGAAAAAAGCAGGAATGGAAGGAATATACAAAGTCAGTGTACCAAAAAGAAATGGTCAGTGTTCAACCATATCAAGAGGTAGCATATGATCAAGAGCCAGTGATACTGAATGAAGAAGTCCAAGGTTCACTGAAGGCATTGGCAAAGAACAAGGCTCCAGGAATTGATGAAATACTAATTGAAATCTTTCAACAAACTGATGCAGCACTGGAGGCACTCACTTATCTATGCTTAGAAATTTTGAAAACAGCTACCTGGCCAACTGATTGGAGGAGAGCCATATTTGTGCCCATTCCAAAGAGAGGTGACCAAACAGAATGTGGAAATCACAGAAATATCACATGCAAGTAGAATCATACTAAAGATAATTCAAAATTGCTGCAAGAGTGCATCAGTAGGGAACTGCCAGAGTTTCAAGCCAGTTTCAGATGAGAACATGGAACAGGTGGATCTTGGCTGAAAGCAGAGAGTACCAGAAAATGTTTGCCTGTGCTTTATTGACTACAAAAAGGCTTTCGACTGTGTGGATCATGACAAACTATGGATAACATTGTGAAGAATGGGTTTTCCAGAACATTTAATTGTGCTTATGAGGAACCTGTACATAAACCAAGAGACAGTCGTTCAAACAGAACAAGGCTACATTGAATGGTTAAAAATCAGGAAAGGTGTACACCGGGCTTGTATTCTTTCTCCATACTTATTCATTCTGTACACTGAGCTAATAATTTGAGAAACTGGATTATATGAAGAAGAACATGGCATCAGCATTGGCCAAAGACTCATTAACAACCTGAGATATGCAGATGATACAACCTTGCTTACTGAATCAGAAGAGGACTTAAAATATATGCTTATGGAGATCATAGTCCACAGTCTTCAGTATGGGTTGCATCTCAACGTAAAGTAAACAAAAATCTTCACCACTGAACCAATAAATAACATCATGATACATGGAGAAAAGATTGACGATGTCAAAGACTTCATTTTGCTTGGATCGTCTATCAACACTCATAGAAGCAGCAGGCAAGATATCAAATGACATATTGTATTAGGCAAATCTGCTGCACAAGACCTCTTTAAAGTGTTCAAGAGCAAAGATGTCAGTTTGATGATTAAGGTGCACCTGACCCAAGCCCTGATATTTTCGATAGCCTCCATATGCATCTGAAAGTTGGAAAATGAATGAGGAAAACCATAAAATAATGCATTTGAATTAAGGTGTTGAGAAGAATGTAAAAATACCATGGACTGCCAGAGGAACACACAAATCTGTGTCTGAAAAGTCCAGCCAGAATGCTCTTTAGAAGCCAGGATGACCAGACTTCAGCTCTCATACTTTAGACATATTATTAAGAGGGACCAGTCCCTGAAGAAGGACATCAATGGACATCATGCTTGGTAAAGTGGAAGGTTAACAAAAATGAGGAAGACTACTGTGAGAGTTAAGTTCTGTGTCAACTTAATTGAGCAAGGATTCCCAGTTGTTTGGCAGTTCATAGTTAACTCTATGATGATTGGCAATTATCAGCAGGCATAGTTCATTCTATTATGATTGGCTATGAGCAGCCAATCAATTGAAAGGATGTTTCCTTGGGGGTGTGGCCTGCTCCCAATATAATGGACATGCAGGAAAGACTTGCCGTCTTCCTTACTGGGTCTGGATCTTGCATCTGGGTCATCCCCCAACCTCTGGTTCTTTGAACCTGAGCCAGTGGCCTGCTCTATTGTATGTTTGTCTACTGGACTATAAAATGGGATGCCCACCAGGGAGCCCTGCATGCCTATTCCTGTCACCCTGTCTCATGTGCTTCATGCTGCCAATTCTGCGAGCATCTCCCATGCCTTTGTCAAACATCACCCTGCTGCCACCCCTGTTCCAGCACCAAGGTCCTGCTCTGGACCCCAACTTGGGATTCCTGCTTTCTGGAGCTGCCCACCAATCTTGGTTTGTCTGGCCTGCACCTGGGACTCTCCTATCTCTACAATTGTGAGGCGTTTCCTTAGTCTAAACTTCTCTTTATGGTGGTGGTTGTATGCCATGAAACTGGTTCCAACTCATAGTGACCCTTATAGGGTTTCCGAGGCTGTCAATCTTTACAGGAGCAGAAAGCCTCATCTTTCTCCCACAGAACAGCTGGTAGCTTCGAACTGCTGACCTTGAGGTTAGCAGCCTGACTGGTAACCACTACGCTATATATAAGTATACATATAAGTAGCACTGATTTCACTTCTCTGGAGAACCCAGCCTAAGACAACCGCCAACAAAATGGATGAGCACAGTGGCGGCAGCAGTGGGCTCAAGTGGAACAGCGATTATACAAGGATGGTGCGGGATCAGGCAGTGCATTGTTCTGTTGTGCAGAGGATCAGTAAGTGTCAGGGCCAACAACAACAAAGCAGAAAGTAGCAACTGATTTAGGTTTTAACAAGCTGTTTTTGGATGCTGCTTTGAGAAAGATGCTGCTTTGAGAAAGATGCTGCTGGACAGATGATGGAAAGCAGGCAAAGATGAAAGCAGAGAAATCAATTCGAAGGCTATTGCAGTAATCAGATGAGAGATCACATTAAATTCAGGATGCCTGTTGCTTATCCAAGTGCTGAAATAAATTCAACATATAGAAATACAAGTCTGGAGTTCAGGGATGAGATCAGGACTGAAGATATAAATTTGGAAGTTGTCAGTATATATGCTTTGAGACTAGATAAGGTCACCTAGAAAATGAGCATCATTACAGAAAAGAAGAGATCTGAGTCCTAATCCTTGATATCACAACATTTAGTGGTCTGGGAGTGTGGAAGAATCAGTAAAGGAAAGGGATGCTCTAATTGGAAGCAAACTAAGTCTGTCTCAGAGGTCAGGTGAAGATGGTGTTTCAGGAATGACGAAGGACTGCTCCCGTGTTACGTGCTCTCTGTAGGCCCGGTGAGCTGGGGAATGCAAAGAGGCCAATGAAAGCTATTGGTAGCGTTGATAAAAGTTGTTGGGCTGTTGTAGACAAAAGTCTCATTGGGATACCTTTGGGGAAAATTATGAGAATTGAAGACCGTGAATAAAGACAACTCTTGCAGGGAGTTTCCCTCCAAGGGGAGGAGAGAAATTCTGTGGCTGTTGGAGGGAATGTTGGAAGGGATTTTTTGTTGTTTGTTTGTTAACAATGGGGAGAATTAGAGCATGAATACACAATAAAGGAAATAGTAGTGTTCTCTTCTGACTATTTCCATTTGTATCTCCTTTATGACCTATCAAACACCTTCTTCTTGAGATACTGTCTTCCCTTGGCTTGGCTGATAATCACTCTGAAGTTTTTTCTCTGATCATTTCTTTCTTCTCTTCTTTGTGGTATTTTTCCCTGGGCAATGCATGGTTAGGCACTTGGCTTCTATCAGAAAGGATGGCAGTTTGAACCCACCTGGTGGTTCCATGTAGAGTCCTAGTGTGATGTTACAGGACAAGTACTTGACTGCTAATCTCAAGGTTGAAGATGCAAACCTACCAATTGCTTCTTTGAAACCCTATACAAGTCACTATGAATCAGCACCAACCCAATGGAACTTAACAGCAGCAGTGGTTACATGGGAGAAATCCCTGGTGGTCTGCTTCTGTACCAATTACTGTTGTTGTCCAGTGCTGGTCCTACACCACACTAGCACCACAGCAGCCTAGAAAACCTATGCAGTAGTTCTACTCTGTCACATGGGGTTGCTATGAGTCAGAATCGCCTTTATAGGGACAACATTTCTAAATTACCTAAGGTCCTACTCGGTACTTCTTTCCTTCTAAATCTTCATGCTGTTCTTAAACAATCAATTATTTTTCTATTCAACAAATATTTAATATATGCCTCTCAGGCATTCCTGTGGGTATTACAGAAACTCTGACTGCACTACGTTCTCTTGTATAACCACAGTCAATGTCTCAGGCTTCCATTCAAGGCTATTAGCAGTTCTGTAGTAAAGGACATCAACTGTCTTATCATTACATAGGCTGAAAACAGTGTCTTCCCTTGCTGAGAATTTTATAGAGCATGAAGGAAGGCTCATTAACAACTTGCATTATACAGATGATACAATCTTGATTGCTGAAAGTGAAGAGGACTTAAGATACTTACTGATGAAGTGGGTTTTTTTAATGTTTTATTGTGAATTGTGTGATAGTTTACATGGGAGAACATTAGTTCTCAATATGAAGTATGCATTGCACCTCAATATGAAGAAAACAAATATCCTCACAACTGGGTCAAGAAATAACATCATGATAAATGGAGAAAAGATTGAAGTGGTCAAAGACAACTTTTTATTGGATCCAACATCAACACTCCTGGAAGCAGTAGTCAAGAAATCAAACAAGTGATTAACTTTTCAGCCTAAGAGCAGAAATCCCTGGGACCATCAAGGGAGAAGAGTGCAGAGCGGGACCCTGCCCAGAGACGCAGTGATGCCTGAGATGGAGGCAGAGACGATGATGTGGAGAGATGGAGCTGTTGGGGACTTTAGACACAGAGAGGAAGAGGGGCTGTGTGCTGATGACCGGGGGGCATGCTTGTAGTGTATACCCTTTGGATGGTTGATGATGCATGGAGGGGATTGTAACCATAGCAATGAAATGATATACTATAGGATGAATGTAAAACTGATGTTCTCCCATGTAAACTATCACATAACTCACAATAAAACATTAAAAAAAAAAAAGAAATCAAACAATGTACTGCATTAAGCAAATCTGCTGCACAAGACCTCTTTAAAATGTTGAAGAGCAAAGTTGTCAGTTGGAGGACTAAGGTGCACCTGACTAAAGCCATGGTATTTTCAATAGCAATGAATAAGGAAGATTGTAGAAGAATCAATGCATTTGAATTATGGGGTCAAAGAAGTATATGAAAAGTATCATGATCTCCAGAAGGACAACCAAATCTGTGTTGGAAGAAGTACAGCCAGAGGCTCATTAGAAGTCAGGATGACCACACTTCATTTCTAATACTTAAGACATATTATCAGGTGGGACCAGTCCCCGGAGAAGGATATCATGCTAAGTAAAGTGGAAAGCCAGCAAAAAAGAGAAAGAACCACAACTAGATGGATTGGCACAGTGGAGCAGCAATGAGCTCAAGCGTAACAATGGTTGTGAGGACGGTGCAGGACTAGGTGTGTCTCATTCTATTGTGTATAACATCGCTATGAATCAGAACTGATTCCCTGGCACCTAACCACCACAACAAAACCATTTTCTTCCCTTGCTGAGAAGTTTCTAGAACCTCAGTAGTGTAGTGGATTACAAGCTGGTCAACAGTTCGAATCTACCAGTTGTTCCTCAGGAGAAAGATGAGACTTTCTGCTTCCATAAAGATGTACAGCTTTGGAAACCCTATGCAGAGTCACTATGGCTCAGAACCAACTTGATGGCACACGGCCAACCAGTTTCATATAAAACATTAAAGTATAGGTTTGTGATTGTTATATTAGTAATAAGCATCCTATAAAAATTTTAAGTTATTTTAATTCAATAAATAAAGACAACTTCAAGTTGAAGTTTGATCTCTGGCAAATGTGATCTCTGGTTAAGACCATAATTATAAACTCAAGTATGCATGCTGAGCATCACCTTTTTAATTTTATACCAAATATTTTCTGTCTTAGATCCAGATGTTAAGTCCTCGTTTCAACAATCCGATCTGGAGAAGACTGTGGTGATTCCCAGTCACAGCAGCTTCCTGATCACAGAAGTCTTAGATGATATGAATGCTTTAGCTATTGCCACCATGCCTGAAACAGTACCCATTAATATGACCTTTTCAAAAGACAAATGGTTCTTATACAACTTTGGGCTAAATGCTGAACGAACATGGAATATATTTTCAAGAAAATGTAATTATTGGTTTCAACAATGTGATAAGGAGTCACTATCCCTCAGTATTCAGAGATACATTGATCTTGGGAAACATTATTCTTTAAAAGTTAAGATCATACCTACTGTTGCAGGTAAGTTTGTTTTTCTTGGGAAGCATCTTGAATGTGAAGTAATCCTCTTTGGTAGTGCTTTATGTTTGGGTTCCACAGTAGCAGTCTATTGATCACAGACTGAGCATCTAATCATCAGATCCATATGTGGCCCAGATTTTATCCAGCTTTCACATGAATACGAGGTGATTAAAAATACCATGGCTTGCGCCAGATGCTCAAAGTGACATTTTTGTACTCTTCAATGCTTTAAAGAGGTCTTTTGCATCAGACTTGCCCAATGCAATGCATTGTTTTATTTCTTGACTGCTACTTCCATGGGCATTGACTGTGGATC